GAACGCTATTCATCTTCAAAAAAAAATTTTTTTAACGGTTCTGCTTTTAGCTTTATCTGATTGTACTATATGCACAAAGTATCTGTGAAAACTCATTTCTAAACGCATTTTAAAATTAACCCCTTATCTTGCTGTGTAATCTCGCACTGTGGATTCTTGTTTTCAGAAGATGCCTCTGGAGACTACAATGGCGAAGATTTGAGTGAATGCGGGCCCAAGTGAGCTGTTATAATTTTACAGAAATCAGAAATGTCTAGTTGGGCATCATTCTAGTGAACTGGAAGATCGTTTCCGTTGTCTTGTTGGCGAGTGTGGGAAGCGTTTCAAGTGTAGCGCTGGATTAAGGTATGTTTAGATTATCTTGAAGTTTCATTCATGTTCTGCTTCCTTCTTACAAGTGAGTTGCTGTAAAAGAGGACGTGTGTTTGGAATTTTTCTATTTTTTTGCGTTGGTCCTCATCAATTTTCATAGGTTGCATTCGCGGACTGTTCACGGCGTCGTTCTCCAAGAAAATACTTCTACACATGGTGGCTCAAACGGATCGGGAGCTCTCTCAACTTCCCAGAATCATCCACCGCCAACAGTCAGCCCTACCAAATATGCAGCGTTTGTCTTCCGCTACTCATAGATTAGTTGTAGTTGTTCAGTCAGCAGTGTATGCAGTATCTCTCGATGCTTTGTTGTCTATTGAAGAGTTCCGCTTCAGGTCGAGGCCTTACAAATGTCATCAGTGCTCTAAACGTTACAAAACTACAGCTGGGTTGTCTAACCATATCGAACAGTCACACAAGAAGCAAGCAGGTATGCTTTGCGAACTTTAATTGTCGAATAATTTTTTTCGGATATTTTCCGTGCCTGTTTTGCTGCATGAAACTCAGAAACCTAAAAAAATTTTTGCATTGTTTTTTAGGAAGAATAACTTTGACTAGCTGCTCAAAGATTTTTAGCTTTCTCAAATTTATCAGTCAAATGTGTAATTTCAATTAATCATAGGATGCCGCACGCCTTCATCTACTGACTCCGCTCCTGCATCTCCATCACCAGCTGTGTTGGACCAGTTAATCTCCCAAGCTAGGGCACATGGGCAAGCGGCTCAGGAGCAGCAGGTGATTTTTACTGGGAAATAGGTACTTGACTTTTTATATCTGCATTTTTTCAGCGAGCTATGCAGCGTCCTCTACCGGTGCAGGTCGCAAGTGCTACGAACCATCAGTATAGTCAGGTAATTTAAGACCAAGATTTTCTTTTGCCTAAATCGGCACACTTTGGTGGTGGGGCTTGATTCGGCCATTCGTTTTGGGGATCCGATTGGCCATACATTTGAGGCTATCGATATAGATACCTTTTTTATCATGTTTTTTTTGCACGGGAAATTACATCCAGTTTTTGCTTACCAGTTACTACCGTTTTTTTATGTATTTGCTTGTTACATGCAACCCTTTGTTCAATCAAGATATCCTAGATGCCATCGCAAGCTCCCCTACCTGTAAGGTCTCTGCCCAACACTCATCCCAGATATTCGCAGAATCAGGTAAATCTTGCATAATTTTAGAGTTATGCTTTGCAGCTCCCGTACTAGTAAACCTCTTTTAATTTTGTGAAAATTACGCTTTTGACCGCGTTATTTTCCTATTCGTAGGTTGCACAGCAAGGACAGGCTCATATCTTGCATCAGCCTCACATGCAGCAACGAAGGCCTCAATATGGCGCTGTGCAGGTAGTTCTCTGATTTTCTATTTCCTCGCCTTTCGTATTTTTCTCGAAATTTGAAGTCTTGCCTATTTCATGCGAACATGAAAACTTTCAGGCGCATCTTGTTTCTTCTAATAGCCCACATAATGCGATGCAAGCAGGTATGTCATATGTGTTGTGGTCATAGGCTATTAACTGTTTGAAAATTCACTCATTTTGAAGGCAGCGGCTCGGCAGAATCGTTTTCCACTTTTTCCCCTTTTCGGGGACCTTCTCGCCATGAGAAACCCATATCTGG